TCCCAGTTGTCCGAGACGATCAAGTAATCATCTCCAACACCCTTGTTGGAGTCTGGGAGGTCGGCTATGAGTTTATAGGCGGTGGATCTAGGCTTGAGGTAATATATGTAGCCTTTTTGAAACTTAAGGCCATACATTGTGTAACAAAATTAGATATTGGCTAGTGTAATCTTATCCTTTTCTCGGCGTGCTAGGGCGATTATACCATTGATAACCCTATAGGAATTGATGGCTAGCTGCATGGGGTTGAGTTTGTAGTAGTAGAGGACTTCCATAAAGAGGATGTCTAAGGGAAACCTGAGTCCACACTCTATGAAGGCAACTACTGGGAAGTGTATGGAATCTTCATCAGGCATGATAGAGTCCTTTTCCCCAGCCAACCTAAGTTGAACATCGACTGGAATGGAGAACTCTTATCGAAAGTACTCTAGTTTGGCCGGGGTGTCTACCCTTCACCTAAACATACCCATGATGTCGGCTTAATGAAGTTGGTACAAGATTTTAGAAAAGAGTGATTGGTATAGGTTTGAAGACCTCGGCTAAACCCTAAATAGGCACTAGGGCAAGGGTTTTGAAAATCTAAGGGGAATTTGTTTCAATTTTCCTAAGAATGTGATTTCTAGCAAATCCCAAACCTAAGTCTATGCAGAAACAAGAATCGAATGCAAGAATCTGGAAACCAAGCAAGAAGACCAGAAAAGAAACATGATTCAGAAATCAAGAAATGAAGCAGAGAAATAGAAATAGAGGTGCACACACAGAGCAACCAAAATTTATGAAACAGTACATATGTGTGTGCAAGAACCACGAACATCATATGAAGACACAGGGGTAAATTGAACAGTACAGAACAGATTCAAGAGCAACAATGGCAACCAAAATTAGGGGATGAATGAAGAAAAGCAGAGTATAGCTATGAAAAGAGATTCAATGGCGACAGATACAACGAAAACATATAGCAAAATGCTAAAGGAAGTTATATTGAAGAACATGGCTAGAAATTAAAAAGAAGTTGAGGACTTACCGAGTGAAATCGATACAACAGACACTAGAATAAGGCTTGCTGAAGATAGACGATGGAAGCTAACGACGGAAAACTCGCCGGAGAGAATGATTGCACCAGTTACAGAGGGCTCGAAAGCACAACAATGGAGGATTGGGAACTTTAGAGAGAGAAAATCTGAGCAAAAGAGAGAATACGATAATGAGAAGTGAAAAGGCAAAGAGGGAGAGAGAGAGAGAGAGAGGAGTTTTGTCAAAAACATGAAAATGCGGCAAAACGTAATGAACTAGCCATGGACGACGTGCTTGTCAGGCGGCGTGAGTAGAAGCAACGCGACCTGATAGCGCGTGTCAAGTGCGATCCAATGAGGAAGGGATACGTATATGAAATGGTTAGAAGGGCTGTGTGTGATAGCTCATGCTTAGTTAGAACTCTTGCAATTCTTGAAGTAATAAGGCCATAACCTCGGCTAGAGGAGCGACCTCGGATGAGATACTTAAAGAATTGAGTTATTGGTTCTTGAGTCTTGGGAAAGTGGACAAATAAGTCTTGGTTTTGCTGAAGCCGATGAGTCATGATATCGGTCAAAAAGCGAAATAAATTTTTAGCCAACATGCTAAATGGACAAACGATGTAGGTTCCATTACCTCAGGTTGCCGAGGTAATAGAACCTAGGGGGAAATTATGAGGACATATTTTGTAAATGACACCGCGTGGCTAAGGTGATGTTGAAGCGTCAGCCAAGGTGCCACATGGCTTGGTCATGCGCCGAGATGATCTTGACTAAGCCGAGATTATCTGCGGAGATACCGGAGTCCAAGGTAAGCAGATAAAGGACAAGAGTCCTAGAATAGGGGAGGACCTCAATTTGGATAGTGATAAGGCTTAAGAAGAGTTTATCTCTATCTAAATGAAGGTCCAGGATGAGCATGGAGTCTGAGTCCATTGAAGTGAGGCTTCTAAGGGGATCAGGTCACTGCTAATTATAAAAGTGAGGCACTCTCGTGGGTCTAAGCTAAGTTCTTTTTTGTGAGTTTAAGCACTATTTGCTATTTTTGAGAGATATTGATTACTGACTTGATCGTTAGAGTGTCCTCGGGTGGATGAACCACCACCGGATCCTTATCTTCTTGTTATAGGTTGTTGGGCTTAATCTATTTTGCCGGCACTCTCCAAATGAGTTCCCCTTTTGGTTGTGTGGTCGGAAATCAACACCCACAAAGGGGTATCGGTTGTGGGTGTGGTGGTCCAGAATGACCAAGGTTTGGTGATGGCCTCGTTGTCAGAATGCATCCTTTTGTTAACTGATATAAATTGTTTGGAGTCTTTGGCGGTGTTTCGTGGACTGATGTCTGCTCAAGAGCTGGGTTTCCAAGATATTCATTTGGAAACAGATTGCTTAACTGTGGTTTGGGCAATCAATGGAGTAAAATGTGAGTTATCTACCTATGAACACTTCATTTCATAAATAAGGTTGGGGCTAGATAGTTTACGATCATTTCAATTCTAGTATGTTCATCGAGAGGGAAACCAAAGTGGTACATTGTTTAGCTCGAATGACGGTTTGTCATTGCTACGATTGTTACCCACCAAGACCTTCAAGAGATCACTAAGATTCACTGACCAAGGTTTGTGACTTACACTGATGCACCTTCATGGATAGGTACTTTTGGGGGAAGCTTTTCTACACCCTCTACTTATAGACTGATCATTAACCAGGATTTTGATGGGTGGGACTGGAAATGGTTATGGAAGGCTAAAATACCTCAAATGCTCAAATGCTTCCTTTGGCTCATCCTTCATGACAGGTTACTAACCAACCAAATGAGGCTCAAGAGGCATACGACATCATCTGATTTATGCCCCAAATGTGGCCTTTACAGTGAAGACTTGGGCCACCTCCTTCGAGAGTGCCCCCATACCAGAGATATATGGACTGCAATTAAAGATCTCAACTGGTGGAAGGAGGGTTGTAGACAACCCCTAACTGAATGGGTGGTTTTTAATTTGAAAAACAAAAATATGTTTCTTGATAATAATTGGTACCTTTTCTTTACTGTCATCCTGTGGCAGATTTGGAAATCTCGTAATCCTATGGTTTTTGAAAATGTAAACCACCCTATTCAAGTTAATCTCAAGAGTATATGGAACTATGCTTCGGAGATTAAAGAAGCTGTCTCTTCTCCCCTCCACCCTAATTCAACAGCCTCTGAATCTATTTACTGGCGCTTTTCTGTTCCAGGTACACTTAAGCTCAATGTCGATGGCTGTTCTAAGGGTAACCCTGGGCAAGCAGGGTATGGCGGCCTTCTGCAGGATGAAACTGGGACATGGATATGGGGCTATTACGGCAATCTGGGCCACTGCTCTGGGGTGGAAGCAGAACTATGGGCCATCTATAGAGGCCTGACAATTCTATTCCAAAAAGGCACCATGAATATGGCAATAGAGACTGATGCGGCACAAGCCATTGATCTAATCCAGAATGGACTGAGCCATAACTCCCCCTTCAGAGCCTCCATTGAGGATACTAAGTTCCTGATGGCAAGATGCACCTGCACCCTTGGACATACACTCAGGGAAGGCAATAGAGTTGCTGATATGCTGGCCAACTTAGGAGTGGCACAAACTGAACATGTGGTGATGCTTGAAGACCCTCCCAAAGCTGTTAGAGCTTTGGTTGTAGAGGACATGATTGGAGTTAGTTTTGTGAGGGCTTAGTCCTTGTTCTTCTTCTTTTGTGTTTCTTGATTTCATCCGTATCAAAAATAAAATAAAATAAAATAAAATAAAATGAATGACAGTTCGTCATGGGAGTATGAGGGTGTAAATGGAAAATGTGCCGTCTTCCATTCAAGCTCTTGTGCTTTCAGATGCTCAGTCTGGTAGTTCTTAGTTTTTGTCTGATTTTCCCTCTCCAAAAAAAATAAAAAAATAAAAACTACAAAAATTGTACAAATATCCTCCTTTTGGAGGGGGATAAAAATGATAAATTTTTATAGTTAAATGATTAGAATGAACAAGTTCATAAATAAAAAAGTAATAATTTTCAATAATTAAGACAATGTTGGTGAGGTGTAGTTAATGTTGGAAAAAGTAGATGAATTTTTTACCAACCCTCAATTTATTAAGACAATGTTGGTGAGGTTAATGTTGGAAAAAATAGATGAATTTTGTACAGAGTATAAATTGAAATGAATAGTTGCCACCGAATTTATGAGTGTTTCGGGAAAAATGATTAAAAATTAATTTTTTTTACCTTTTTTTATTTTTTAAAAAAACACTTATAAAAAATATGAGAGATTAAAAAAATAATGATATATGGCATCAATTAATGTACTATCTAGTGTATCATTTGATAATGTAACATAATTTAAATTTTTTTTGATACTTATAATTTGTATAATGCATGAGTCAATAATAATGTCATAACTAGTGTTGGTATACTAGTAAGTACATTAATTAGTGCATATAACACCACTGGATCTAAAATGAATTAAAAACTAAAAAGTGATTTTTAACTCATTTCCCAAAAAAGGCTTAAAAAGTGATTCAACAATGATTCATCCCACTAAAAATATCACCACTAATAGCACTAATGCATTAAAAAAGTAAAAAAAAAAAAAAAAAAAAAAAAAAAAAAAAACACAACTCCAAGACCAAAACATCACATCATTAATGGCGGGACCCACTACCACCTAATTAGTGGGAGTACTAATTAGTGCTCCCAAGCATTTTTCAAAGTGATTTTTAACTCATTTCCCAAAAAGGCTTTATATAACGCTTGGGACCCGTACTACAGTATACTCAACAAGAAAAATGCTTTGGAGCTTTAATTCTTGAGTTCTAAAACTAGTTCTAATGAGTTAGCAGTGAGCTCCACTTATTGTGATGTGATGTTTTGATCTAGGTTTTTTTTTTTTTTCTCCATACCATGTCATTGGTGTTCTATTAAAGTACTAAAATTAGTGCTCCGAATCATTGTTGTACTCAACAATTGGCCTCAATAATTAGATCATATTTCAAGACTTTTATTATATCTATAAATTCTAATATAATCCAAGCACAGCAAACGCTTAGGAATAGAAAATTTTGGAGACAGCATCCTTAACCACCATCTAAAATCCGACAATGACCTAAAATAAGCATTCACATATACATATCAGAACTGATTAGCTAAAGTTAACATGGAGGTGGTGGGTGGTGTTGATTTTGACACAACATGGAATATCAAATCAAACAGTAGTCTCAGAGCCATTGCTGTTGTTGTGCTGTTTGATTGAAGAGTCTGTGGAGAGGCTAACTGGGTATTTAAGGGCATTAAGCTCAACCTTCCTTAGAGCAGCTTTGCCAAGGTCAACACCACAAATGTCAGAGAGTCTGACAAGGTAGAGCAAGACATCTGAAAGCTCTTCACCAAGATGTACCTTTTCTTCTTCTTTCCAATCAGGGAGTCCCTTTGGTACCTCTCCTTTCCACTGAAATATTTCAGACAGCTCCCCAACTTCTCCCACCTGTGTGGATTATCAAAATCAAAATCATCAAAAAAAAAAAAAAAAAAAAAAAAAAAACCACTACTGCTTTAGCCAAATCTCTGACGACAACATGTGAATATGATCAAAGGAAAAGAAAATACACTGTTTTGATTTGATTCCGTTCTCTATTTCTGGGTGTGACATTAGAGAGCAATTGTAAAAAAGGAGACATGTGGGTTCTGAGCATTTTGGAGATAACAAAAGATATGGGCCAGTGTTTGTACGGTTGCTGAATCTAGGCAGCCTAGACCATGTTTCAAAACCCTAACTTGGGATCTAAGAAAAGGAAATGCTAATAAACTGTTCTTAATGATGGTACTTATGTAAAAAATATATTAGAAGTGTAAAAGAGAGATAAAATTAAATGGGCATATGTAAAATGTGTATAGAGATTGTGACTTTTATGGCATTATATTGTCTGAATGAATGCGTATTCATCAGTACTTGACAAGTTTGTTTACAAAAAGTAAAAACAAAAATAAAAACAAAATAAAAAGTAAGTTAAAAAAAAAAAAGGAAGAAGAAAAAAAGTTAATGCTACACTACTTTCGTAATTTTTCACATTATTATAGAAAACAAATTTGCTCACCCACAATACACCATTACAATTATTATTGACCTGCTTAAAGTGTGAATTTTACTATTTTCTAGCAATCAAAAAGTTCGTATTGACCTGCTTAAAGTGTGAATTTTACTATTTTCTAGCAATCAAAAAGTTCGTATTGTTCACATATTTAGAACTTTTTTGAGTGTCAACAAAATTAGACACACGGTGGTAATATTGTGATATGAGTAATGTTATTTAGATTAAAACATTAAACTTTTTTTTTAAATTTAATGATGTAATATGTGTTATATAAGTGTAATTTTTGACTTTTTAGTTAAAAAAATAGAAATTTTAATTTTTTACGAAAAAATGTATAATAAAATCAAAATGACCATTTTATCCTTATTGACTTTTTGACTTTTGGAAAGTTGAATTCAAAGGACAAAATAATAACAACAATGATTCATCCCACTAAAAACATCACCACTAATAGCACTAATGCATTAAAAAAGTAAAAAAAAATAAAAAAAAATACAACTCCAAGACCAAAACATCACATCATTAATGACGGGACCCACTGCCATCTAATTAGTGGGAGCACTAATTAGTGCTCCCAAGCATTTTTCAAATAATAATTATACCCTCTAAGCTTCCCCCAAATAATATGAATTTTTAAACTTTTTTAGTAAATTTTTAACTTTTGTAGGTTATCCTCGTTTGGGAACAAGCCATTTTAATAATTTTTTTAATTTTTTACGAAAAGATGTGCAGAAAAATAAAGAGAGTAATGTGACTAACTTATAATATTTTTTTAATATTTTGACTAAAATATATAATTGTCAAACAAGACTTAAGTCAACTATCTCTTTCATTTATTTTTTAATTATCAATCAATCATTTATATAAATATCATTAAATCTAAAAACTGAGTAAGAAGAATAGACTTCTAAGCCTTCGTTTGGGAAGTGGGTTGGCTTTTTGGCTTTTTTGGCTATTTTAGCCTGGGCTTAAAAGCTTGGTTTGGGAAGGGCTTTTTGGCTTTTTTGAGTTTTTTTGTGAGAGAAGAATGTAATGATTATGGGTTGGATGTGATGTTTTGTTTGTTATGGCTAAAATAGCCTATTTTGTTTTTTATGGCTAAAATAGCCAAAAAAACCCAAACCCTAACTTCCCAAACGAAGCCTAAATCATTTTCCTTGTCAATGTGATAGTGATGTAATCCTTACATAAGATACAAAGTCGTTGAGCTCGAAAATGGAACACTCCACAAAGTTTTAAATAAAAAAGGGTAATGCTAAAGCCCTGTGTATTTATAAATCAAAAATGCTTCCTACCCCCGGGGTCTACCCCAGTGAGGTGTCACTTTGAGATTGGCTAAAAAAAAAAATTAGTGAAAGTTGAAGTTGAAAAGTGTAATTTTTCCATATTTTTTTTTAACACCCTTAAAATGTGTTGGCATAGCTATCTCGTGCAGTGGCGGAGCCACAGTGGAGCCAGGGGGGTCACGTGCCCCCTCCCTTGGGTTTTGAATTTTTTTTTTTTTTTGGTTGCAAATATAAAGAAAATATTTTAAATAAAAAAAATATAAAATATTATTTAAAATAAAATATTAATGACATTTTTTAAATTATGAGAATAATAATAGTTGTTTTTTTAATTGAAAATAAAGATATAATAATAAATCATATTATTATCTATGAAAATTTCAATATAATTATTATGTGTATTATTATTGACGTACAATTATAATTAATCTCAATGAAAATATGAAATTTATTAAATTATTAGTTATATTTGACAATTGGGGTTCATTCTCTATGTGTGCGTTTACTATTAGTTGGTAATATCATATATCAACGATGACGTGATATTACTATTATATTGAATTTTTACTAAAATTTTGTATAAAAAAATACTTTATCATTATATAATTTATTTTAAAACTTATATCCATGACTCTTTTTTTTTATTATCTATGATATACTAATTACAAATAATATATATATTTACTTTTCTTGAAATCAATCGTAAAAATTTATGTGAAATATTTTTATAAAAATTTTCAATGTTATAATTAGTAAATCCTTCATCTGATTTAATTTCTTGACTCCGTCACTGGATTTATCATTATTAAATGAGTAACAAACCACAAGTCACTACATATTATACTACATATTATAAATTATTTCTAATAATCTCAAATATTTTTGATAAAAAAATAACAAGTTGATTAATATAATAATAGATCTTCCAAAAACAAAAGATTGGGAACATTAAATTTTATTACAACAAATTGGAATTATTAATTGGATTCATAGTCAAATCTTGAAAACATCTCACACAGAATGTGAAAGAAAGAGTATACTCTCAACCACAACTGTAGTGTTTGGTTTAATTTTTAAATTAATATTTGAATTAAAAAATTAAAAAATATGTTTGATTAATAAATTTTTAATTTTTTTAAAATTATATATATATATTTTTATTTATATTTATTCTTGAAAACATCTCACACAGACTGTGAAAGAAAGAGTATACTCTCAATCACAACGGTAGTGTTTGGTTTAATATTTGAATTAAAAAATTAAAAAATATGTTTGATTAATAAATTTTTAATTTTTTTTAAAATTATATTTTCTCTTTTATTTTTATTTTTATTTTTATTTATATATTAATAAATAAATCAATCAATTTTTTTTCTCTCTCCTCTCTCATTTTCTATATTTTACACATTGATTAATCGCGTTGTCCCTCACACTCATTTATTCATCTAAGAAAAAAAAGAAAAAAAAACCTAGGCACCGTCTTAAAATTATTTTCAAAACTCATAATCAAATAAATTTTTAATTTTCAATAACTTATCTCCCAAAATATAACTCAAAACGTTTTTAAAAACTAAACCCCAACAATCTTTGTGGCAAGTGCGTGAACAAAATGACTTCGGAATACACCAACATCTATCTATATCTCTATAGAGAGAGAGTGAGAGAGAGACGATATATACATACCAGAGCCAAGAGGAGGTTTCTAGGGCTGTGAAAGCGGTCCCAATCTCTTTCCTTTGCAAAGTCAGCCATTTTGTTCTTGAGAAGGTCGAGGGTTACACTTTCATCTCCTTCCAAAACCCCAGTCATCTCTCTTCTCACACTATTCAGACCAGACCACAAGACCAAAACACAACGAAAAGACAGATGTGGTACAGATCAAACTCTATTGTTTTCTCAATTATTTGCAAGACAATCTATTTTATATATACGAGAGAGAGAGATGTTTTGTTGTTCGGGAATTCGGATACGGCGTATACCGGCTATCACCGGTTCAAAACTAAAAGTACACTACACTTATAATACACGGATTTTCGCGCGGATCCTTGGGGTACCCTCGTGTAATACGGGGTCCACACGCTTTTTTTTTTTTTTTCATAGAATTAATTTTAATTTTTAATTTATTTATTCTTCTCCAATTTTATTAGTTTTGGCCATTTTTATGTTGTTCTGTACTCAAAACGACGTCGTTTTGGCCATTTTTATGTTGTTCTGTACTCAAAACGACGTCGTTTTGGCCATTTTTATGTTGTTCTGTACTCAAAACGACGTCGTTTTGGCCATTTGAGCCACTTTTGAGCCACAAAATTTGAGCTACGTAGCATTGTCGATTTATAATTTACTCTTTATTTTATTATCATTAACTATTTTAACTTAAATCCAACCTCCCAAACAGGCCAGGCGAGCGTATTTTATTCCAACTCCTCAAATTCAGCATAGACAATACATTTTACATTTAGGGATGACAACGGGGCGGGGCGAGCCGGGGCCGAGGACTATACTCCCCGTCCCTGATCCCTGACAACGAGAAATTCTCCGCCCCCGCCCCCGATACCCGACGAGGAGCCCATCATCCCCCCACCCCTGCCCCCGATCGGGGATCGGGTATCCCCAACCCTGCCAAATCCCCGAATTACAGACATTTTGTAGAATCATTCAGTAAAATTTGTAGAAAATCTGTACATCCATTAAAATCTATACATCTATAGCAGATCAATAACATATCAATAACAGATTAGTAGCAGATCATTCTATTAACACAATCTATTAAACATTCTATTAACACAATCTATTAAACTCTGATAGATTTACACAATCTGTAGAAAATCTGTACAGATCAAAATAAATAAATAAATACATTCTATTAACACAATCTATTAAACTCTGTACAGATCAGTAACAGATCAATAACAGATCTGAGGATGATCGGCGGTGAGGTACGACCAACAGCGATGGAAGATCTGCGGTAACGGAGGAGCGGCAACGGCGGAGAGAAAGAGAGAGCAGCAGTGAGGGAGGATGATCGGCGGTGAGCAACGAGTAGCGGTGAGGGAGGATCGGCGGTGACGGGATCGCGTCAGCCGTTGTTCATTGTGTGAAAGAGAGAGAGAGGGGGAGACGAAACCCTAACCTCTTGGCAACGGCGGAGAGAGAGAGAGAGAGAGAGAACATCGTGCTTTGTGTGTGAGAGTGAGAGCAGATAGCTTCAACCAAACCCTATATGAGCACATATTTATAATGAGGGGTAAAATAGTAATTTTACATCGGGGTTTATACGGGGCGGGGATCGGGGTCGGGGTCGGCCGGGTCCGAGATTGAAACATGTATCCTCGTCCCTGGCCCGAGCATCACCGGGGATACATTTTTTAATACTAACCCCGGCCCGTCGGGAGTATTTTTCAGAGAATAACCGTTCAATTCAAGATTGAGAGGTCAGATTCTCGTCGGGCCGAATTCTAATTGCCATCTCTACAAGACATGGGACATTGATACTTGTTCGGCGTAATACTTTTTCAATAACTTTTGTGAAAAAAGAAAGAATTTCTGTAATATGTGGACTTAAGGCAAAGGCATAGGTCAAACGTTTATAAAAGATTATATATTTTATATGAAATTGGATATAATTAAATGTATAATATTTTTATGTTGACACAAAACAAAAAGGTCAAAAGATAGTGCCAAATAATTTAAAACAGGAGGGGAAGGTTAATGGTATAATTCCTCCTCTTGTTTGAATGTTTAGGAGATAAGGATGAATAATATAAAATTTCCTTTCATTGTTTGGTAGCTGGTTAGGCATTGTTTGGAAACTTAATTTTTTGACTAAAAAGGTTAAAAGTTACTTAAAAAATTTAAAAATTAAAAAAAATAATTCAAACATAGCAGTAAGTCAAAAAAAAAAAAAAGTCAAACATACAATTAAAAAGGTCATTTCCTAAATATATTAATTTTTTTCACATTATAAAAAAGTCAAAAAAAAAAAAGGTCATTAGCCAAATCCGAAATGAGATCTTAATAAGAACAGAGAAATAACATTACAATTTTTCATTTGTTTTAACTAAAAATGTTAAGAAATTAAAAAAAAAAAAAAGAGAAAGAGTTAGAAGTTATCTAAGATGTTAAAAAAGTAATTCAAACATACAAACCAGTCAAAAAGTAAGTCAAAAATACAATTAAAAGGGTCATTTCCTAAATACATTAATTTTTTTTCACATTATAAAAAAGTCAAAAGTCAAAAAAAAAAAAGTCATTAGCCAAATCCAAAAAGAGATCTTAATAAGAAAAGAGAAATAACATTACTATTTTTCATGTTTTTTCACTAAAAAAGTTAAGAAATTAAAAAAAAGGTTGAAAGTTACTTATTAAAGTTAAACAAATTCAAAAAATAATTCAAACACAACAGAAAGTCAAACATACACTTAAAAAGGTGATTTCTTAAATACAATAATTTTTTTCACATTATAAAAAAGTCAAAAAAATAAAAAGTCACGAGTCAAATCCGAAAAGAGATCTTAATAAGAAAAAAGAAATAATATTTTTTTTTTCATTTACAACAAAGGGTTCCATATCTCTCATGTTTCTACTTCAAATCAGTTGGTCGATATTTTCACCAAATCTCTTTCAACTTAGAGGTTATGGCAGCCTCCTCTAAGCTTGAGGGGGCATGTTAAGCCACAGCTCAAACTAGAGGAGTCACAAGCCACAGAGTTACAAGTCAAGCTGTAGCAGTCTACAGAGCTGTAGCAGCAGTTACCAACCAAACAGTTACAGTTCAAGCAGCTCAAAGAGTTGGTCAAGCCACCTGCCGATGATGTGTAGAGGATGAGCACGTGTATGAATTTGAGGCAGTTACAATCCACTTGTGGTGGTTAGCTGAGTCTGTTAAATATGAACATAACCATTGTTAGTGAAGGGCCAAATGTATTGTTATTTAATTTTCTAAAAGTAGTGTTTTCGAAAAATATTCCCAAAACAAGCTTCAATGTTCTTAGAAAAATAAAAACAAAAAACCAGAAAATAAAAACACAACCAAAAACAAGTATGAGATATTTTCTCTTTCATCCATTCACTTCCACTTTTTGGAAAAAAAAAAAAAACTTCTTACATCCCAAATTATTACTCTTTTTCCTAATCCAGGTAATTTGTGATGTCTGAAGAGTATTTGAAAAGTTAATACATAAAATTTTATAATTTTTTAAAATTATTTCTTATAAATAACTATGAATGTAATCAAAATTGATAATGTAGGGATATATTTTCTGAATACCAACACGTGACATGTGACGCCGACGTTTCAGCCGAGGTGCCACGTGTCGTCATAGTTAAGTCGAGATGATCTCGGAGTTGCCGAGGTTATCCCCGAAGATATCGGAATCCGAGATAAGCAGATAAGGGACAAGAGTCCTCAGACAAAGAGGGGACTTAACCAAGATAAAACTCTTAAGGGAGTTTATCTTTATCTCTTAAAGAGTCCAGAGTAAATACTAAAATTGGAGTTCATAGAAGTCATACTTCTAGTAGGACTTTGATTGAGTATATTATAAAATAGAGGCACCCCGTGGGTCTAAGGTATGCAATTTATGTTTTGAGTATTAAGTCTTGCACTTGATTATCTTTGAGAGATATACTGACTTGATCGTCGGAGTGCCCCCGGGTGGAAGAACCACCGCCGGAGCCTTTTCTTTCTGTTTCAGGTTGCTGAAGCCATCTATTCTGCCCGTGCTCTCCAGTTGATCACTAAGCAGGCAGTGTGGTCAGATTTTTACCCACACAGATAATACAAGGACAAACTTAAATTTTTTTTATTACAACAATTAATGTTGAAATTTAATGCCTTTGAATTGCATTTAAGTATATGTATTAATTAAATTTTTTTTTTGTTTTTTGGATTGGGATTACATGTCTGAGTTGTAATTTTCAAAAGGATTAACATTGGGAGACACAAGGAATCTAATTTAAAATGTGGGATCAATCAATCAATTATGTATATCATATAACCCCTCCATGCTTTCCATTTAGAATATGAAAGAAAAGGATAAGATATTAGTAGATATCAGATTCTCCATTTCCTTCCAAATTTTTCCATTGAATTGAAAACAGATTTTATAAAGGGTAAATTATACTGACACCCTGAAGTTTATTTTATTACAGTTTCTCCTCACTTTTTGGAAATTACATCTCCCCCTGAGTTTTAAAGTTTCATTACAGATTCCCCCTTCAGCAATTTAATTTTTTTAAATATCAATTTTGCCCTCATTAGGTAAATTATATTGACACCCCTCACATTTTAAAAATTACAATTCCCTCCCTAAGGTTTAAAGTAGCATTACCAATTGCCCACTTAATTAGTATTAGTTGGAAAAAAAATTCATTGAAAAAAAAATTAATTGGAAAAAAAATTAATTGAAATTTTTTTTTGTTAGTAAAGTTTTTAAATTTTTGTTTAAAAACCAACGTAAGCTCATTTTTTAAATTTACATTTTTTCCTCAAATTTACAAACTGAGACAACCATTTATAAATCAAAAAAATTATCAAACAAGTTTTTATGACAGTTTTTAAAATTTCTGTAAATATAAATTGAAAACTGAAAACGAAATGGTTACCAAACAGGCTTGATAGTAAAAATGTCATAAAATTAACAAATAATTAAATAAGTTACCAATGTAAGAAATGACTTATCAAAAGATTCTTAGGCTATGTATGGTTTGATTTTTAGAAAAAAAATTTAAAAATTAAAAATTAATTTGGTTAAGAAATAAAAAATAAAAAATAATTATCATTTTAACTTTTGGGCAGGTTATATACATGCGTATGGCTGTTTCAATTTAATTTGTAGAAAATTATTTCTAACCACTCGAAAGATAAAAATTATATAAAAATGATAATTATTTTTTATTTCTTAACCAATTTTATTTTTAATTTTTTTTAAAAATTCTAAAAATCAAACCATACATAGTCTAAGAATATTTTGATAAGTCATTTCTTACGTTGGTAACTTATTTAATTATTTGTTAATTTTACGATATTTTTACCATCAAGCCTGTTTGGTAACCATTTCGTTTTCAGTTTTCAATTTATATTTACAAAAAATTTAAAAATTGTTTTTTTTGTTTATAAATGATTGTCTCAATTTGTAAATTTGAGGAAAAAACGTAAATTCAAAAAATGAGCTTACGTTAGTTTTTAAACAGAAATTTAAAAACTTTACTAACAAAAAAAAATTTCAATTAATTTTTTTTTTCAATTAATTTTTTTTCCAATTAATTTTTTTTTTCAATTAATTTTTTTTCCAACTAATACTAACTAAGGGGGCAATTAGTAATGCTACTTTAAACATTAGAGAGGGGATTGCAATTTTTTAAAATGTGAGGGGTGTCAATGTGATTTACCCAATGAGGGCAAAATTGGTATTTAAAAAAATTAAATTGCTGAAGGGAGGAATCTGTAATGAAACTTTAAATCTTAAGAGAAAGATGTAATTTTCAAAAGGTGAGAGAGAAAACTGTAATAAAATAAACTTCAGAGGTGTCAGTGTAATTTACCCTTTTCTAAACTAGTGTTAGATGGAGGAAGTTTCTTTCCTTCCATCTATCCAAACACATTATAAATGAGTGTTGTCGGATGGAAGATGTGTGGCTTGTTGTCAACGTAAAATGTCCATACTTTCTATTATTATTAAAAGATTTAGGGTTAGAAATGCTACATTTATTTAAAATTTTACTGACAATATTAATAAAAATATACATGTCTAAATATCATTAATGTTTAAATTTCATTATTTTTTACACACCAATCACATTTGATCTCTTATATGTTTAGTACGATTGTTAGTATATGTAGAATTATTTTAAAGAAATTGCTTATTAAGGTAACGAAATAAAATGGTGCAATTATTTCAGAATCTTTTGAACGAGAGAAAATAATGAAACATGGAACATATGTGATATGAGTAGCTACTTTCAATATTGACATTTTCATACCTATATTAATTGGGATAAGCTCCTTTTCCATACCTCATCTCTTTATACCTTTTCATACTCTTTTTATGAGTTTTAATTGGTGCCCACACTGATGATCCGAATCGTATATCTCGTAAGCCTGGCAATGAAGGTCATTTATTCAAAAAATCAACTTTATCAAAAAATTGTAAATACAATAATAAATCGCATTTTATTTTATAAAATAAATTGAAAATATAATTAAATTTAAACCATCTATTTTATAAAATAAAATGTGACTTGTTATCATATTTATAATTGTCTGATGAAACTAATTTTTTATATGAATAACTTTCATTATAAAACTTACGAGATAGATAATTCAAGTCATTAGTGCAAGTCCCAATTAAAACTCATGAAAAGATAAAATGGGAAGGGAAATGTATCCCATATTAATATACTTTTTTTTGGGAGGGGGGCTCAATTCATTATGATATTTTTAGAACCTTTTTTTTTTAGATAAATATTTAGCTCATATAGCTAAGTTGGGTTGAGATGTTTTGTCCATTTAATTTGATGTGAATTGTTTGTGTATTTGGATAATGTATATATTTTTATTATATAAAAATTGCAACTTGCAGCGAAGGATAGTAAAATATTGTTTGGAATTTTTATGCTTTCGTAAGGTCAAACTTAATAAATAATAACTTTTTAGGAATTAGAGAATTATATTTACTTCTTATTTAAAGGACACAAGATTTTTCATTTTTAAATTCTTATCCCTTGTCATAATACACTCTTAATCGTATAATTATATTTCAAAAATTTCAACACATCAGAAAGTATATTGAGATACGAAAATAATAATTTTTTTTTGGTGTGAATAAATGAATCCGTGAAGGGAATTTAGTACACCTATAAAAGGAGCAGCTATACTGTACAAAATTTGACGTTTGGTTGGCAAAATTCAAAACCCAACAGCCACTTCACAACAAATTGAGCTTAGTTGTATTACACTTCCAAAAAAAAATAAAAAAATGTAGACAATCGTTTACTTCTTCTTCTCATTTTTTTTTTTTTTTTTGGGGGGGTTAAACAAGATATTATATAAGCGACAATCATTTGCTTCATGTGAAGGGGTAAAATTAGTCTTAGAAATACATTTAAAATATTGATATTGATGACAGTGATACAGTGTATGGTGGCCTCAACCATGTATGTAAATAACGGGTCCAGTCCAAGGTGCTCCTATAGATTGCAAAAGATAAACTAAAATAAAATTGGCCTCAAATTAAAAAAATGGGCCTTGGAAATTTAGATTTAAATTAATTAAAAATTTCAGTTGAAAAACTAGTGGAATATCACTAATACTGAGGCCAAGTTTGGGAAGACTAAATAAGTGCACTTTTTGTCTTTTTAGACTAAAAAGTTGAGGTTGAAAATATGAATGTTTGGGTTAACTTTTTGACTTTTTATGAAAAAATGTGTAATAAAAAATTGTAAAAATTGATTTGTAGGAGAAAATTAGAATTGGGAGTTGTGCAGCCGTAATTGTTGACTTTTGGTGAATAGTGATAACTTTTTAACTTTTTGAGTAACTTTTTGACTTTTTGACTTTTTGACTTTTTGGGGTGTTCCCAAACTTGGCCTGAGTTTGTTGACTATTGTCAAGCCAAATCTTTAGCAACGAGGTTAAATTAAATTCATGTGCTATCAGCAGAGAGAAGAAACGTAATCGAGGCCTCATTTGAGAAGTTGATTATTTTGGTAAGTTATTTTAGTTTTTAACTATTTTAGTAAGTTAAAATTTTTGTGTTTTGAAAAGATAGTCAGATTTTTTTGTAATTGAATGTGATGTTTTGTTTTATTGACTATTTTAATATATTTTGTCTTTTTATGAATTTTAACTTCAAAAAAGTCAAAATTTTACTTCCCAAACAGGGCCTGAAGGAGAAATTGTTTGATGGTCATGGAGTATTGTGTACTGTTGTATCCTTAAAAGAGACAAACTGATAGTGAGACCCATTATTTTAGTTAATAATATTTAAATTATGACACCACCTAGATTTATCTCAAGAACAAATTATAATTTCTCGTATTTAAGGACATAATCAAAGGAAGAACCTTTAAAAAATGGATTAAATAATCACTGTTGGAGAAGGTCGGTCGGTCGGAGCAAAAACACTCCCTTTCGGCGGACCGACACTAACTAAAACTTTATACTGACAAAGATGTTTCGTGTTTTAAGCATGAAATTTTTATGCCTCAAAAGTCTCCAACCCAATTCACTGTTTAGGCTTAGTAATAACTAAAGGAAAATATTTGAAACTTCTGTTTTTTTTTATTATAAATAATTTAATTTATAATAATATTGTAGGATAGGTGTTAATCTTTTGATTTGTTAAACGCTTAATCATATAAAAATTAACTCATTTATCACGTTGTTTCTAAACCTCTTAATAGTAATTAAAATGGTGAAATTTAATATAGTTTTATCAAAATTATTTTTTAAGTTGGTTCATTGTAAAAAAAGCTTTTTTTTACTATACTTTTTCAATGGTTTCCATTTTATTTTAATTTCTCATATTAGTTTGAGTTTTACTAATGATAATTCAAACTATTATTACATTTTCTATTAATTTTTGTTTATTAAAAAATATGTAGTCATGATTATCTTTGTTGATATATCAAATTTGACTCAAAATTTAACACAACATTAAGAAAAACATTCGAATAAAGTAATCCCCGTAAAAGTCCAAAAAAATAAAATAATAATAATAATCCAGGTAGAGTGTACCCACATCTAAATTTGTGTTCAAAGCTTGCACCACGAAATGATATGATGGCCATGTCTAGTGCAAATTGGCCTTCTTGCTGGTCCCCAATTTGGACCGCGACTACACAGTCCAGAGCCACTCTCTGTCTCTCTTTGGTTTCATTGCTTTTGCTTGGAGAGCATCTTTGTTTTAGGTATCTATACACTCACGTCCTAATAATAAAGTTGCTCAAGAATATTCTCAAAACTGGTCATTATTCATCTGAAAGTAGGCATAACAAATATATATATATATATATATATATATTCAGTAATGACGGTATCTAGATTAACTTACATGTATTTTGACTAATTCTCACCCCGGTCTGATCAAAGACAGGCTATTTACACCAAGACTAAGAAATTCACTAGAAATTATAATATCTCTTTCTACCATCCAAAAATAATTGAGAAAGTGAATTCATAGGAGAAATTTCTTTACATGTACAAAATTCAATTATCGTTGGATACAATTCTTTCATATAAGTGAGACCCACATCTTTAATTAGTCTTGTGTGATAGAATTTTGTGTAAGATACCTAAAATTTGATGGACAAATTGTTTTCAAAAATTATTTTTAAGAAAGTTTTGAAAAAAGCAATTTTAAGAAACAGATTTACAATTTTTTTGAATTTTCGAAAACTATTTTTACACGTAAATGAAGACAAGAATTATTTTCAAATATTTTACCTTTTTTATTCTAAAAATATGCAAAAGAAGAAATTTGGAAAAAGGGCCAATGGCTATCTTTTATTTGATGGTTCCTCCTTCACTTTGTTCCGAAAGTATCCAAAGAGATTGCCTTTTTTTCTTAATTAATTGTTTGTTGGCCACAACAACTAACTTATCTTCAATGATATGGAGGATAAGTTAAAATTTTGAAATGCCACAATAATAAAATGGATATATATGGCATCTAAGCTTTGTACTTCCAACAAAAGGATTAACATAGTTGAACTTAGCATTGATTTTTTTTTATTTTTAAATAAAAAAAGACTCGTTTATTCTTACTTTCGGTGGTTGCGATTTCATTTAATTTTTATTTCTCACTTGTCTTTGTTTAATGTGATTTGCCTCCATGATCCACAAACATGGCTTCTATTATCTTTCTATTTAAAAATAATAATGCTGGTATTCAAAAAAATAAAATATTTTAAAAAATGTACAAAATTTAACTATATGACATAAATTTAAATTTGGTGTGGTCCACTGCATGAAGAATGAATTTAATCTAAACGTTTCAAATTTTAAATAATTTTTTGAGAAATTTTTTTTAGTGTGTATATAGTGGATTCAAAAAGAAGGCAGCAATGATAGCTAAAGATTTTTCATATCCAGTGATATAGATTTTATTTGATTTTCTAATAACTAGATTGCTTGAAATCAATAAACAAAGCACAATTACTTAACTGAAAATAATTTCTACCTTGAGCCTATTAAAAACATATTATATTTTGAATATGTTTTTAAATTTTTTTTTGTCTATTTCTTAAATCCACCCATCACATAAACAATCAGACGATATTGTAAAGCGGCCCAATCAAGCACGATTAATTAAATAATACTACGCATGCTTAACAAATAGCCCTTAAATTTAGAGATTAATAATAATAATAACCCCTTCTCGCTTTCAATTTCACCAGCTTAGCTTTCGCGGATACTTCTAAATTAATCTTGGGATTAAGCAAAAGGGATTATAGATTTTTGAGTCACTATCAGTATCAAAGGTTGGTGTGGACCAAAAGCAAAGTCCCTAACCAAGTTGCGAAGATCACCAGAATTTTCAAAGATCTACAACACTAGCTTTAACATTGATTTTCGGCTGTGGAATATATTCTAGCTATATATCTCAAGTAATAGTTAAGGCGGAGCTTAAGGATCTTAGTTGACTTCACTGTTGAGAAAATAGTTGGTGTCGATTGGGACTCGAAAGGTCATTAGGCATGATAGTTATGAAAATGTAGTTTTTGTCATGTGCACGAGAAGTTATTCGCTCTTAATCGTTGATCGTTGTGTAATCAACAGTTAAGATGCAAAGCATGAAATGCTGAATACTGTAGTATGTAATTTTTGCACCGAATTATTACTTGAAATGATGAAAATTATATTTATTGTCCAAGTTCATTGATTCAAAATATAAAAATAAACATACTGTAATATGTAAATCATGTAATGTTTATCTCGTACAACCGACACAGATTTAGTCAAATGTGGTGGCTTCAATACACTATCTAATGTGCCTAAAGCTATTATGACATGTAATATAGTGATATGATCACATGAGATCAAAACGTGAAATTCAGCCATGCTAATAAAGTTTGTTTGTTTGTTTTTGTTTTTGTTTTTTGTCATTTTTTTTATTTTAAATGTGAGTTGAATGTAATCCAATTTGACCCAGACCAACCAAGGAGCTTTCTTCGGATTAAACTCTTGCACATATTTCACTTAGAACAGTTTTTCTATGAAGAAGTTAATAACAAAAACAGAAAAAATAAAATAAAATAAAATTGAGTATAACAGTAAAAGTAAAATTATTGTACATAATGTTATTGATCAATAAAAAATTAAAAATAAAATTAAGGGGTGGTTTGGGATAATGTAAATAAGTGTACTTTTTGACTTTTTATGAAATATGGTTGGGTTTGAAGTGATGTGTTAGAGAGGTGATGTGACTTAAACAAGATGATGTAACTTGAATAAGATGATATGACTTAAATAATATAGTGACTTTTTGGTTTTCTGACTTTTTTAGGGCATGACAAACAAGGCCTAAATGAATAAGTTCAATCTCTTACTAATCATATTTTGATCTGCAAATTAAGGCATGGAGTTGAGGGAGTAATTATTCAGTAATTCGGAGTATAGGCACGTGATATTCTATAACATTGTGATTGGTGACACTTGTTGAAATTTGTAGCAATTTACAAGTAGATTAGAACGAAATCGTTGTTTAAATACTTGTTGAAAACTTGAAAAGAAAAAGATGTCAAAAG